GGTTTTTTTTTTTTTTTTGGTTATTATTTGTGAATTCTTTCTTTTGGAGTACTGAAAGAAGATTGTACCACTATTGCTAAACTACACTGCCCATTTTCTTGCCTGCAGCCCTGCACAACCCTTTTACACGAAAAAAGCACAATTTTGTATGAATACAATGTGAAATTCGCTGGTCTGGGCTAGGACGGGTTAGATCTAAAGGTTTATATTTCTGTGAATAGAGTGAGCATGTATTGCATAATCAAGGCCATTGTTCCTTAATGTTGAGCTTATTAGATGGCATCAGCAGTTATATTATGGATTGCCATATTGAGCTTTCTACCTTGGGCCATCAACATCATACGCCCTACTGAAATAGATTTCACGGTAAACCAGCTTATATCATATCTATTAGGGTATCGTCTGTGCTTTAATGGCCGATAAAGATGAATTTGCCGGGTCCAACCTTCACCAGCCATATTTCTGTTTACTTGATATCCTCTTCCCCAAGCTAAGTATTGTTTGTTTCCCTTGATCTCCTTTTCAGATATCTCTTTCCTTTCTCTTCTTTCTATTCTCCACTTCACCATTTGCCACTGTGTTCCTTTGTTCTTCTCATTTTTCTTAGAGTTATTAGACCTTGGAGGTTATTTCTGTTAAACTCTGAACTGTGTGAATACTATTTAGGATTAAATTAGTGGGCACTTGAAAGTTTGACAAATGGAGAATTGTGCAATTGAGTTATATCTGAAGGGAGAAAAGTAAAACAGTAAAGGAAATTAGATACACTGAGCTTCAGTATCAGGAAGTGTACATTTGCTGAATGGTGGAAACGACAAGGTCTAATGGAACCTCCTACTTTTAGCATATCCGTCAAAAGAGCTGCAGGAAGTAGAGGGACTAGATGTTCTAGCATGTTTGGCCGTGCTTTTAGAATTTGCTTCTTATGAAAAGTGTTTTTCAAGAAATTACTTTTGAATAACAATTAATGTTTAGCCAAATTTTTAAAAAGTAATTTTAAGTATATTTTCTTCAAAAGTAGTTTTCAAAAAAATATTTTTGGAGAGAAATTACTTTTTATGCTTTTTAAAAACTGC